TGTGGTGTCGAGAAAGTGCCACGCCTGCTAGGCGTTGCGACAGTGTCGTGGATAGCGGCCGAGCTGAGAGACCACCCCCTGCGCACACCCCCTTTTGCGTCGTCGAGAGACCAGTGGTGTCGAGAAAGTGCCACGCCTGCTAGGCTTTGCGCCAGTGTCGTGGATGGCGGCCGAGCTGAGAGACCCCCTGCGCACCCCCCACGCCTGTAGGCTTTGCGCCTGTGTGTGGATAGCGGCCGAGCTGAGAGACCACCCCCACCCCCTTTGGTGTCGAGAAAGTGCCACGCCTGCTAGGCTTTGCGCCAGTGTCGTGGATAGCGGCCGAGCTGAGAGACCACCCCCTGCGCACCCCCTGTGGTGTCGAGAAAGTGCCACGCCTGCTAGGCTTTGCGCCAGTGTCGTGGATAGCGGCCGAGCTGAGAGACCACCCCCTGCGCACCCCCTGTGGTGTCGAGAAAGTGCCACGCCTGCTAGGCTTTGCGCCAGTGTCGTGGATAGCGGACCGAGCTGAGAGACCACCCCCTGCGCACCCCCTGTGGTGTCGAGAAAGTGCCACGCCTGCTAGGCTTTGCGCCAGTGTCGTGGATAGCGGCCGAGCTGAGAGACCACCCCCTGCGCACCCCCTGTGGTGTCGAGAAAGTGCCACGCCTGCTAGCCTTTGCGCCAGTGTCGTGGATAGCGGCCGAGCTGAGAGACCACCCCCTGCGCACCCCCTGTGGTGTCGAGAAAGTGCCACGCCTGCTAGGCTTTGCGCCAGTGTCGTGGATAGCGGCCGAGCTGAGAGACCACCCCCTGCGCACCCCCTGTGGTGTCGAGAAAGTGCCACGCCTGCTAGGCTTTGCGCCAGTGTCGTGGATAGCGACCGAGCTGAGAGACCACCCCCTGCGCACCCCCTGTGGTGTCGAGAAAGTGCCACGCTTGCTAGGCTTTGCGCCAGTGTCGTGGATAGCGGCCGAGCTGAGAGACCACCCCCTCCGCACCCCCTGTGGTGTCGAGAAAGTGCCACGCCTGCTAGGCGTTGCGCCAGTGTCGTGGATAGCGGCCGAGCTGAGAGACCACCCCCTGCGCACCCCCTGTGGTGTCGAGAAAGTGCCACGCCTGCTAGGCTTTGCGCCAGTGTCGTGGATAGCGGCCGAGCTGAGAGACCACCCCCTGCGCACCCCCTGTGGTGTCGAGAAAGTGCCACGCCTGCTAGCTTTGCGCCAGTGTCGTGGATAGCGGCCGAGCTGAGAGACCACCCCCTGCGCACCCCCTGTGGTGTCGAGAAAGTGCCACGCCTGCTAGGCTTTGCGCCAGTGTCGTGGATAGCGGCCGAGCTGAGAGACCACCCCCTGCCCACCCCCTTTGGTGTCGAGAAAGTGCCACGCCTGCTAGGCTTTGCGCCAGTGTCGTGGATAGGGCCGCGCTGAGAGACCACCCCCTGCGCACCCCCTGTGGTGTCGAGAAAGTGCCACGCCTGCTAGGCTTTGCGCCAGTGTCGTGGATAGGGCCGAGGTGAGAGACCACCCCCTGCGCACCCCCTGTGGTGTCGAGAAAGTGCCACGCCTGCTAGGCTTTGCGCCAGTGTCGTGGATAGCGGCCGAGCTGAGAGACCACCCCCTGCCCACCCCCTGTGGTGTCGAGAGAGTGCCACGCCTGCTAGGCTTTGCGCCAGTGTCGTGGATAGGGACCGCACCCCCGAGAGAGACCCCCTGCGCACCCCCTGTGGTGTCGAGAAGAGTGCCACCCCCTGTGGTGTCGAGAAAGTGCCACGCCTGCTAGGCTTTGCGCCAGTGTCGTGGATAGCGGCCGAGCTGAGAGACCACCCCCTGCCCACCCCCTTTGGTGTCGAGAGAGTGCCACGCCTGATAGGCTTTGCGCCAGTGTCGTGGATAGCGGCCGAGATGAGAGACCAACCCCTGCGCACCCCCTGTGGTGTCGAGAAAGTGCCAGGAGCTGTGCTGTGCTGTGCTGAGCTGAGCCGTGCTGGGCTGTGCTGACCGCGCCCCCGCTGGACCTCCTCGGGAGCCCACGAGAGTGGCGACCTCTGCTCAGCTGACAGCACCAAGGAGGCGCGAGGTCTTATTTGGGTGTGCGTTGGGCCGCGTTTTCTTATTCGGCGTTTCGACATTGGGCGGAAGGTGAGGAGGGGAGTAGGGGTCTGCCTCCGGACCTCTGCTTAGTGCGACTATTTGGAACCGTGCGTCTGCGGGGGAGACTTCACCTGCTCGATACAGGCGCCAAAAACAGGTAAGATCTACTCCACTGGGAGAGGGGAGGGGGGGGGTGCGAGGGCCCGCGCCGATCGTCAAAACAATGATAAAGAAACAACCACCAAGAGGTGCGAGGTCGTATTTGGGTTTGCGTTGGGCCGCGCTCCGCCAGACTCCCCAGGACGCAACTTCCTCATGGACTCCTGGGAGGCCCAGCGTTCAGCGGAGTGCGGTACGCGCATTCGAACGGGACCTCGCGCTCCCTCGGTGCTGCCAATTGCACACGGGGTGCCATTTTCGTGGGCTCCTGGGGAGTGGCAACGCGGCCCAACGCACACCCAAACATCACCACCCACGAGACCACCCCAACCCAACCCGAAGGCCCCAATTCGCCCTGAATTCGGGCGTCGGGAGACATTGAGAAAACACATATGAAACCCGTACCCCCCAACACGAAATTCGGGTCTTCGGGTTGGGTTGGGGTGGTCTGGTAGGTAGTCAGAACAAGACCTCGCGCCCCCCGGGTGCTGTCAACTGAGCAACTGTCGCCACTTGCGCAGTTGGCAGCAACCAGGGAAGCGAGGTCTAGCTTGGATCTCTGAAAATCGTCACCCCGCTGGACCTCCCAGGAGCTTACGAGAGTGGCGACGGTGGCGCAGTTTGCCCCACCCAGAGGGAGCGAGGCAGGAGGCAGGTAAGAAGTAGGAGTCAGGAGGAGAGAGGGGGTGGGATGAGGACGGCGACCAGCAGCGCTCCATTCAAAAAGAAAACACAATTGCCGAGGGTTTTGGGGGGGGACCACAAAAAAAAACTGTCGGAGTCCAGCGCGGGTTGCTGGGGCCAGCTCTGGACACTCCCCCCCTGGCAGGCGCCTCAGGCGCCGCCCCCTGGCGCTCCTCGCGCGCCAGGGGAGGGGGGGGGGTCCGTGCTGACCCAAGAAATCCGAGATGCCATCCGAAAGACTCCGCTCACGCGGTCTTCAATCAAGGGCTCCCAGCTTCGCGCTTCGCGCTGCGCGAAGCGCGAAGCGCGACTAACTTCGCGCTCTCGCGCCGCCTCCCAGGGGGGAAAAGGAGGAGGAGGAGGAGGAGGATGAGGAATCGGAGCCGAACCGCGAAGCGCGAAGCGCGAATAACTTCGCGCCCTCGAGGGCGCCCTTGTCAATCCCCGATCACCGTCCACGACGAGCTGCCCGACGGCGGGCCCGACAGCAGGCCGGGGGCGTCGGCGTGAGCCTCGTAGGCGCACCGCCTGTCGCGGTCGAGGTCGCTCCCCACCCCCACGTCAGGGGCGTCGCGGTCCAGGACCCACCTGAGGAGAGCGCACAACAAACGGGATACGAGTAGATGGGGTCGGAAAATCACGCTGCATCGCCGATGCATCGGCGATGCATTGGCGAAGTCGGCGGTGCATCGGCGGCAGCGGCGTGGAGAAAGTTGAGCTCCACATCGAGCCGCATCGCCGATGCATCGGCGATGCGGCGCCGATCCTCCGACCCCATCCACTGCGACCCCATCCGAGAGGCCCAGAACCTGGCGGTGGTGCCCTGGCCGTCGCAGTCTGGATCGTAGTAGATGTAGAACTCGGCGCTGCCGTAGAAGGGTGCCCCACTGGCGAGCGTGCCCCTGAGGGCTAGGACGGCGCCGCCGGCACCCGCAGCCTCGGGCGCGCACCCGGCCGGCCACGTCACGCGGAGCCGGGGCGCGGCCTCGCACCGCCCGGCCGGCGCGCTGCAGGCCTCGTTGTGGCTGCACACGCTCGGCCCGCACTGGCAGGGATAGGCGGAGCTGAAGCTCGACCCGTCGGAGACGTCGCACGGGACTGCGTCTTCAGGCGCGTCCGCCGACTCCGTGGACTCCTCCGAGGCCACCTGGAGCATCGAGAGGACGATGCTCGGCGCGGGGCCGCCCGCTTCGGGCTGCGCTTCGCCCGGGTCCGTCGCGCTGCCGCTGCACATGCAGATCTTGCCGTGGCCCACGAAAGGGTCGGCCCCGAAGGCCCTGTTGGAGCACTCGATCGACCCGGCCACGTCCACCCACGCGGTCCACTTCTCGCCGTACCCGTACTTCACCCTGCCGAAGCAGCCGCACTCGAGCTGCATCGAGCACTCGGCGCAGCCCCCCAGCCGCAGGTTGTTGGCCGAGGCGCACTGGAAGACGCTGGCCTGCGCCGCGCCCTGGCCCTCCTGGAGGATGAGCAGGAGAGGAGGAGGAGGAGGAGGAGGAGGAGGAGGAGGAGGAGGAGAAGGGAGGAGGAGGAGGAGGAGGAGGAGGAGGGGGAGGAGGAGCAGGAGGAGGAGGAGGAGGAGCAGGAGGAGGAGGAGCAGGAGGCGGAGCCTGGCCTGCACGCCCTGGCTGAGGGCCAGCGTGGCCCGCGGGCGGGGGGCCGCGGGGGCCGCGGGCGAGGGCGCCGGGGCCGAGGTCGCCCGCGAGGAGGCCGGCGGCGGCGCGGCGGGGCGCCGTGCCGGCGGCGGGGCCGCGGCGAGCACCGGGGCGAGCACGTCGGGGCTCAGGCACGCGCGCACGCGGCCGCGCAGCTCGAAGTGGGCGCTGTCCTCGACGGTGTCAAGCGCTGGGTCCACCTCCGGGCTGAACCCAGACGGTGTTTTGCGTTCTCGTGTCGTGCTCGTGTTTTCCTGCGTTTCGTCTTCCATCCGCCTGTTTACCGCAAAACGGAGTCGAAGCGAAAACGGCCCACGAAATCGAAAAAACACCGTTTAGGTCCAGGCCTGGTCCACCTCGCGCACGAGGTACCCGCCGTCTGGTCTGTCGCACGCGGCGCCGGCGACCAGCGCGTCGTCCGAGGCGGCATACTTCACGAGGTAGTAGCTCTCCTGTGGCGTAACGCCCTGCCGTTTCCACACGGCGCCGCGGGCCGCGTCGTGGCCGACGTGGCAATAACGGCCGGAGAGATGCGCCTGCTCCCGGTAGAGCTTGAGGTTCAAGCAAGCGTCGTCGACATTGCAGTCAGGAATTTTCGCCATCGCAGACACCATCCTTCCCGTGGTCGTCGCCATGCTTCCCTCGCCGTCCCGCGTGTACCAGAAGCACTTGCCGCCGTAGAAGCTGTAGTGGGAGCACGAGGGCGAGTGGCGGCAGGCCAGGCGGCAGGCGGCCGGGGTGGTGTGAGCGTGCTGCTCGGTCTCGGTGCCCTTGAAGCTCTCCATGAGGAAGCAGACGCTATCCTTGCGAGGCGGGGAATTATCCACATCCACCCCCTGGGACACGACGCCCTGGCGCCCCAGCGGGCGGCGGATCTGTCGGGGATGGACAGACCCCCCTTTAGTACAACGTGGTTTAGTGAAAACGACCTGAGGCCCAAATCTGACGGGCGCGAACCTGGAAAATGACGGCCACGGCGCCCTCTCGAGAACCGAAAACGGACAATTCACTAATCGACGTGTCACTGTTGGGGGTTCTGTCCACCCCCGAATCTGGAGCTACAGGTCGGCCCCCGGGGGCCCGAAGACGTCCACACATCCCCCGCCCGCCGAGGCCCCCGAAAGCTGACCCTCCGGGCGGTGGCCGTGTGCAAAGTTCCCGCCGCGGAGAAGCCTTCGCCTCGACCTCGAGGGCGGCCGACACCCTCCAGACGGGTTCCGGCAGGCTTTCCGGGGGCTCTTTCCGGGAGGGTGCTGGAATGGGGTGTGCTCGTCGTCTCGGGGGGAAGCCGATGTCCCTCGCGGAGCCTGGGCTCTTTTTTCCCGGCGCTGTCCTTCACCTCGATCTCGAGGGCGGCCGAGATCGGCGCGAGCCCGTGCGCCTCCGGGAAGAGGCCGTACACGCGGCACCCGAGCCGCACGGCCCTCTGCACGGCCTGCGAGGCAGGGTCGGGGTCCCTGCCGTCGAGCAGCGCGGCCAGGGAGGCCGCGGGCGAGACCTGGGGAAGCAGTGCTGCGAAGGGGCCCAGGGGCACACAAAGGAATCCACGCCAATCCCAGGATCCCAGGATGACCCACATTTCCCTACTTTTTCTGGGTTTACTCGTCTTCCCCGCCACTTCCCACATCTCCCCAGGTTTTCGGGGAGTCGACGATGAATTGTGTCTGCGTGCTTGTTCCCTCCTTAGTTAACCCTGCAAAGGACCCAAATAGCAGCAAAGGTGAAGAGGCGGGTCGAGGACTACGAGGTCGGCCAATAAAAACGTGCACTCCTAGGTATTCCTATGGAGTCCTAGGAAACGCACGGTCATGAGCACCTAAAAAGCAGGTTGTTACCAAAACTCGTGGCCGTCCAGACCAAAAATGCAACCGTCATGAAGGCGAGAATGCGATTCCTGCATTCGCGGGCCCAACGGGCCAGAGGCGCGCAGAATCTCTGGCAACACTACAGGAATCCTTCCAGTTCGCGAGCGCAGCGGCACATGGGGGGTCCCAGGACGAATAAGCGCCCCGGCAAGGCCCCAGCAAGATCCTGGCAGGGTCGGGCCGGAGATGCTGGAACTCCCGGGCGCGGCCTCGGGCTTTCCCCGAGCGCCCCAACGAGGCGCCAAAGGGTGGCACGCCCCACGGCCTCAGGCAAAGAGCGTTCCGAGATGGTCCACGCTGGTCCCAAGACAGCCCAAGAAGCGCCCAAGAAGCTCCAGGAGGGTTCCAACAGAACCTCGAGAGGCCCAACAGAACTTCGAGAGGCCCCGAAGACGCAGAAGTTCTTGATGTTGCTGGGCGGTACCGCCTTTTCGAACTGCCGACCGCCCTGGACGGCCCAAGAGACCCCACGATCGCTCAAAGACGGCCCGAAAAGCCTCCAAGAGGGCCCCCAAACGGACCAAGATGGCCCAAAGACTTCCCAAGCGGCCTCCAAGTCGGCCCCAGGAGGTGCCAAACGAGAGGGCCCAGAGGGGGAGCACGAAAAGACATTTCGAAGCCCCAAGAGGCCCCCAAGAGCCGCCCAGCAGACAGGTGCGACTTGTTTCCTTAAGTTCGATTCCTGGGGAGGAGCGGGCACGGAGGGGAGACGAGGCCAGGGCTGGGGGCTGGGGGGCAGGGCAGGAGACGCGGAGCCACCGGGCTCGCGAGCAGCCGAGGCCACGCTGCGACGCCACGCATGGCTGGTCCGCCGCTCGCCCCGGAAGGGCCCCCTGTCGCCGCAGCGGCCAACCCAACCCGAAGACCCGAATTTCGGGCTGGGGGGGGGGGTACGGGCTCCACATGTGGTTTTTCGATGTTCCCGGACCCCCCCCCCACTGGAAATGGAGCGTAAATTGAGGCCTTCGGGTTGGGTTGGGGTGGCTTGGTGGGTGGGGCGGTCCAGGGACTGGCTGCGTCGGCGCCGCTTGGCCCGAAGAGCCACGCGGCGGCGCGAGGGGGGAGGCGCCGCCAACCTCGCGGCGGGAGGCGGCGGGCGGGCGCCGGCAGCAGGCGGAGGTGAATCGAAGACGCCTCGCGCGCGAGGGCTGCCGGAGGGAGCCGCCTGAAAGCGGTCCACGCATTGGTTGCATCGGCGCTGTTCGTTCGGTTGAAAGAACCATGCGTGGACGCGAGTGGGAGGCGCAGCCAACCTCGCGGCGGCAGGCGGCGGGCGGGCGCTGGAGGCAGGCGGAAGTGAATCGATGATGCACGCGAGAGCGATGGCTGTCCGAAGAAGCCGCCTGGAGAGCAGGAGAGGGCCTCGCCTCCACGGAAGACGCGCGGCGGGGCCGTGGGAGCAGGCGGAAGTGAAGCACGTCCGACCTCGATCGCGGATGTTGGCGCGGGCGGGGCCTCCGGCCCCGCAAACTGCGCCGCGCCGCGCAGTCAAACCGCATCATAGGGATGAGTAGCTTTCGAAGGGCACCCCTGCACCGATGCCACGCGCCGTCCATCCAGGCACATGTTCCCCTCGAAGGTTTTCTCCTTGGACGGCCAAGGGCCTTGCATCCTTACCGCGCACCCTCACTACCCGATCGCAACGTAGCAGTTTTGGCCAAGGCCGGAGTCGCCCCGAGCCGCCGGCCAGGGCAGTCATGGCCGATGACAAGACTGCGCGGCGAGGGCGGCGAAGCGAGGCCGCGAAGGCGCTGAACTCCCTGGCAGAGGAGTTCGAGCTGGACACGGCGTCTCTCCGCCCAGCGGCCCAGGCAATGGTGGGCTTCTCCACGGCACTGCGCGACGTCGCGCCTGCCGAGCGGGCGCCGGAGCCCTGCGCAGCGAGGAACCAGTCAATAGAGAATGGCGGCGGCGGATCCTTTCCTGAGCTACCAGATCCTGGAGCGGACGAGGACGCCGACGACGGGCCCGACTGGCGCGAGCGGGTCCCTGGACACGCAGCGTGCCAGGCGCAGGCGGGCAAAGCGTTTCGGCTGAAAAGCAGGGCCTTCATACTCACCTTCAATTGCTTGGCCTTCGTCGCGCCCCCGGAGTCGCGGCAGGCGCGCCAATCGTGGGTAGAGGATCGGAAGAAGGAGTTCGACATCACGCACTGGAAGGCAACTGTGGAGGAGCCCCTGCTTTCAACTGACACTGGCCGCGCGCACTGGCACTGCTACTTTTCCTGGCACGGCGGGGGAAGCATGGGCGTGGACCACAGGACTCTGGACTCCTGGGTTTTCAGGGGCGCGAAGCCGCGCGTGGAAACGAATACCGAGGGGAGAGGCCCACGGTACTGGATGAAAGCCACGCAGCACGGACAATTCTATGCATGGGTTAAGAAGCAGGGAACTTTGAAGGGCGCATCAATCTATCCGCCCTGGGAGTCGGGATGGTCTCCAGAGCGCGCCTGGGTCGTGGTCTTGCAAAGGCAGCACAAGCTTGACCGCGCGCAATTTTTGGATATGTCGATGAAACGCTGGGACGAGCACGATAGAGCCCAGGCCCTAGCGGCGGCAATAGAAGCGGACGAGCGCGCGAGAAGGAGGAGGCGCGGGGGCGAAACGCAATGAAGGCGCTGCCCGTTAAGCCCCTGCCTGATCAGATCCAACGGTGGAGGTTGCAGTTCGAGGAAAAGGAGAAACGGCGCAAGTTTCTGGTTATCCCTGGCCCCTCTTGCACGGGCAACTCTCGGCTGACACGGAGCCTGTTCGGGGGCGCACAGACGCTCGCGGTAGATGCGCAGCACGCAGAGCACCCGGATTTGCGTTGCCTTCAACGAAAGACCCACAAGGCAATCCTCCTCGACGAAGCGCAATCCCCAGAGCTTGTCGCTGCAAATAAGAAGTTGTTGTATTCACACGTGGACGGGGCCATCCTTGGCCGGGCGCCGACGCGGAAGTTCACCTGCGAGGCATGGCCCTGGAAGACACCACTCATATTGACGACCGACAACTGGACGTACGACGACTACTCTTTCGCTGACAAGAGCTGGATCCAGACGAACGCAGTGGAGGTGCTCGTCGGAGAGCACGCGTGGAAGGCGAGGGTCGCGGCCCCAGCGCCGGCGACGCCCCCGCGGTCTTCTCCCGCACCCTCCGTCAGCTCTGGCGCGTCTCGCGGGCGGTGGGCCCAGCGGCGCCGGGGGGCCCCCGCGGGCGCGAGCCCCGAGCACAAGCGGGGCCGGGAGACTCCCAGCTAGAAAAAATACATCCATCGCAATGCACTTCCCTGCCCGCTCCGACGCCCAGAGCTCAGAGCGGGGGGGGTCCAGGCGCGGGCCGGGGGGGGGGGGCTCGGGGCCCAGCGGCCCTCTTACGATGGCAAGGGCACCCCTCTGCTCCAAGGCGCAGGGGCCTTTAAGTAACATTATGAAAAGAGTAGGGGCGGCGAACCCGCGATCGCCGATCCGCGTCGTTTCGGAAGGTCCGTCGCCCGACCGCGGTGGTTCCAGCTTGCTTCCACGATGGTTCCGAGAGGTTGACATGTCACGAAACCCTATGAGTTCACATGGTTCCCGCTTGGTTCCGCGATGGTTCGTCGCAAGTGCGACGAAACCGTATGAATTCAAATGGTCCCTGCTTGGCTCCACGACGGTCCCACGATGGTTCCAACGTCGCAAGTGTGACGAAACCGTATGAATTCACAAGTTTCCTGCTTGGTTCCACGATAGTTCCACAATGGTTCCGACGTTGCAAGTGCGACATGGTTCCTGCTTCGTTCCACGATGGTTCCGACGCAGCAAGCGCGACGAAACCTCATGAATCCACAGGGTACCTGCTTAGTTCCACGATGGTTCCACGATGGTTCCGGCGTTGCAAGCGCGAAGGAACCCTGTGAACTCACAGGGTTCCTGCTACCCCAGAAAAAGCGCGCTCGCG